GTGTGTATCTAGATAGTTACTGCTCTATATGGCCAGACCCTATGTATCCTCCCACACCACTCAGCTCTACTACACTGATTACAACAAATCCCCCAAGGAGCCAACTCTTTCCTCATTACGGTGTTTTAGTTTTGTACAAGGACATTAAGGATTGTCTTCATTCTTGCACGCTGGAGCACAACAAGCAAAGCTCATCATATGGCATCTCGGCTGGGGAGAGGAAAAGGCAAGTCGCTCCGTCATAAATAAATAATGTAAACGAGGGTTTCTGATACATTTTGTTTTGTCGTTTGCTGCTATTCATGGTGGTATGTTAATCCCAATGAACTTTATACAGCTGTAATATAGCTGCTATGTCCTCTTCTCTTTCCTATGAATACCAATTACGCTGAAGTGTTAGCTAAAGGTACTATCAAAGTAAAGGTTTCTGGTAGCAGGTAATTTTCTCTCCCTACCAGATTACCTTGTAGTTCACAGCGCAATGCAAATATTGGTTGCATGTGTTGGGCTGGGTAAAGAATACTGCTTCTATCTACAAAGAAAACTTCTGCCCCAGTTACAAAAATTCATCCTAATATGACAATTGATCTGCTCTGCAAAGGCCTCCGAAGGATTGCTTCAGAAAAAGGAGTCTCTCAGGCAGACTTCTTCATTTTTGCTTTTCTTCCAGCATCGTCTTCCAGCCCGGAGCCGCTGCGCTGGGCGTACGTGGTGATTCCCACGGCCCAGCCCGGCCCGCGGCACCCCTCGGCCACGGCCATCCCCACGGCAGCGTGTCGGGAGGTGGGAAGATTAGAAAGATCTTGCAGGTCTTGTTCATTACTGAGTTTGCTAGAGAGTCACGTCTCTGCACAAAAGACATTTTTCCTCTGCTCACCGGTTTCATCAGAGGTTGGTGCCGCGGAGCAGCCGTGGGCTCCCTGACAGCCACGGGTCTGGTACCCAGCCAGGCCGGCTCCCTCACCCAGCCCCTCAGAAATACAACTGAAAAGCAAGATGCAATGTGTATTTTAACCATCTTCAGCATCTTTAGAACCCAGAATTTGGAGGAGGGACAAAATCTCTAAAGCTTTGCAGTGAACAGCTAATGTTTAACTGAAGCGCTGCAGCCAGGAAGGGTTAAACGGACGTGGGATACTGCAGGATTGTTTCTTCTGCTTCACTAAACTACTGTTCAGATGGAAAAAAAAAAAAAAAAAAAAAAGAAGTTAGCTTTTCTCCTGCAAGAATGTAAATGTTGGGTATTTTATCAAGTGATTTCTTAAGCCCTCAAGCCATTCTTCAATTTGAAATGCTAGATTAAAAAAACCAAAAAAACAAACCAAAAACACACAGGGAAGAGAGAGCAGGAAAGAAAGAAAATATTTTCGTCAGCCCAAGAACACTTTGCAGACATTATGGAAAATGTTGCCTATTTTGTTTCCTCTAGTCACTGAACCAATCTTTTGCATTAAAATCAGCATAGTAGTAAATAAACATGTTTTCTCTAGCCCTGCAGCCATTCTGAGACATCAAATGGTACTTAAGAAATGTTTCTTTCTCCATCACAGAACATTTTTAAAATGTCCATGGCTGAAGGGAGAGAAGATGCTCTCTTGGCTGAAGCATTAGCAGGCTTTCTGCTCTCTCAAAGCTGGGGGAGGCCCTGGGGAAGTCACGGTGCTCGGATTTTCTGTCCCTCTTAAGCATTTGAGGAAGAACAGGACTTTTCCAACCACGCAGCATCTCGCAGCTCCCCGTGGACGTGGCTGGATTTCCCCTGAAGCTTGGAGAGGTGCAGGGAGGCTTCCGAAATCCGCACCGCCGACTCCCACCGCCGCGCCGAGCCTGAGCTCCGCTGGAAAACTCAGCCAGTAAATGAAACATCTCAGGGCAGCGCGAATTACTCGAGCCCCCATGTCCTCTGTGACTCGGGGGTGCTCTGACGTGAGCTGTGGTCCCTCCTGGAGGGACAAGGGGAGGGTGCTGGCCGTCCCCCCGGGGATGTTTGCCCCAGGGAGCAGTGCCGTGGCCCCAGGAGGTGGACGTGGTCCAGCCAGGCACACCCGGGACATCTCCCGTGGCAGTGGGGCTCTGGCAGGAGGTATTTCACATATTTGTACCGGGCTGGAACTCAGCAGCTCCGCTCTGTCCGGAAAGTGCCCAAATGGGCCACCATTGCCCAATTCCCTCCTCTGTGACATGGCGAGTGGGTGTCCACGCAGGTACAGGAGCGTTTGCAGCATCGTGTTGAGACGTTTCAATGAAAAACAAGGGAGGGGAGCAAGGGAACGTCACACCTTAAGGGTAGTACGATTGCTCTAGCTCAGAATGCAGTTTTGGGACATATTTCTCATGCATCATTTCTAAAAAAAAAAACCTATTTTATCTTGCACAGCAAAGAAAATGTGTTTGTCCTGACCTGACACTGTTTTTTAAAGTGTCAAGTGCTAATGAAATTCCTCAGCCTTGAGCAGTTCTAGGCATCCGATGCTGATTTTTAAAATATGGGGATATTTTGCTGCGGATTTTTAAGGCAGCCTCGAAATGATAAATGTTTGAGAGTGTGGGAGAAAAGAAACTTCCAGATTCAAAGAAGTTCTGACACAATCTTGCATGCAAAACAGACAGAAAGAGGCTCATGCTTTAAAGAGGGTTTTGTTATTCCTTTGAAATTTATTTAGAAGATGTAGGGCTAACACTGCGCACTTTAATCATGCAAATAGGTTTGCTGGTTTTAATATTTTGGGCTTAGAGAAGCAACAAAGCAAAATGACTATTTTTTTTTTTAGCCTATAGGATGAAATTTGGAATGGAAATTTGCCCACAAGTCTCAAGCAGTCCCACCTCAGATAATTTTGCTTTTGTGTGTAACACTTGAAAGGCTTTTTACTGCAGGAGAAGGGTTTGGAAGAGGAGAGCGGGGCTGGAGGCAGCCCACGAGCGTGGCGGATCCCGCGCGTGGTGCTGGGGCTCAGCTCTAGCCCGGGTCTGTGGAGCTGTAGGTCAGCTCAGGTCTCAGTTTGCTGGGAACGTCTTCCTCTGACATCAAAATTCGGGTTGAGGGACCACCAAACCCCCAAACTGCCTGGGTTTTACAGGGGATGGAAGCTCTGTGCCCCCCCCAGGGGCTTCCCTCCGGGCTTCCCATGGGCTGCAGGGTGTGGAGGAGGGGTGCCGGAGCCCCAGCATCTTCTGGTCGACTGCAAGGGGTTTAAACCTCCTAAACAACATTGGTCACCCCGGGCCACCCTGCAGCTCGCTCGGTCCCTCCCTGAGCAGAGCAGCTCCCGCGCGCAGTGACGCCAAGAGCAGAATCCCTCGGGATGCAGAATCCCTCGGGATGCAGCCAAGGGGGACTCGGTGATGCCCCGTGCCCACGGAGCCGCTCATGCCCACGTGCCGAGTTCAACACACGCACCAATATTTCCAAAATCGGGGTCCAAATGAGTAAACGCTTGCAGGACCGACTGCTGCGATGGCACAGGCAGCAGCAAATGGAAACAAGAAGGCGTAGGTGGCAAGATCTCATTAATTACAGAAATAAAACAGATAAGGGGAATGAAAAACCACTCAGTTGGCTTTAATAGACGGAGGGGGAGCTGCAAGCACAGGAGGCAGCTCAGTGGGGGGGGGGGGGGGGGGGGGCTGGCACCACGGACGGGAGACACACGGACATTTCCCTGATGCGATTGTTAAGTGAATCCTGCAGGATTTCCTCTCCCAGGGGAAGCGCCTGAGCCTGGGAGGAGGCCGGGGGGGGGGGGGGGCAGCGGCTGATGGGAGCTTGGGCCAGGCCTGGTGCCCACCGCAGCCCCCCCGGGACGTGCCGGGGGCCTGGTCTGAGGGGTCGCAGCATCACTGGGTGTGGAGCCGCAGGATGCGGAACCAAGGGAGGTCGGTTTGGAATCTGACAGTTTCCATCTCCTTTGGTTTTTCTTCTATTGCTTTCTTTAAATGAATATTCTGGATGGAGGGTAAAAATGTCTCTTACAGAAACGGGTAACGGAGAACTTGGAAAGCGCCGTGACAGCTGCCAGGCAATGCCAGCCACCATTCCAGGCAAGATTTGGAAATTATCTTAAATTTGGGGCAAAAGCAAGAGCCGGGCTGGGACCCTCTGAGAACATCCACACATGTTGAGCATCGCACACGGTACCTGTGTAACCGTCATGTCCCGCCGTGGGCCGGGGTCGGGGTGAGGGTCAGGGTCCGGGGGTTGGAGCGGGGCAGGGTGCCTGCAGCCCACAGAGCGGTGTGAGCAGGTGGGGGGGGGAGCCTGCGGGGGATCTGCTCCAACATCCTATAGGAACTAAATACATTTTTGAAAAATGAAAATAAGAAAAGATGAAATAAAAAAAAATGACAAGGCAGTTGGAAGGTGGACAAGGTGAACATTGTGGGTCCCTTCCAATGGAACTATTCTATCAAAAAATAAAATCGTTAAATAATTAAAGCAATAAAATGAAATAAAAAACTGAGAAAAGAAACAAAAGTAAATAATACAATGAAAAATTGAAATAGTAAAATAAAGTAATAAAGGTAAATAAAAATTAAATAAAAAATAATAAGATTAACTAAAAAATGAAGTAAAAAATAAAAAGAGGAATAAAAAATAAAAAATGAAATCGTAAAATTAAATGAAATAAAGTGAAAGTAAGATGGAATAAAAGTAAAATAAGTAAAATAAACTGAAATAAATTATCAGAATAAAAAATAAAATAAGACGTAAAAAATAAAATAAAAATAAAATAAGGAATACAAAAATAAAATAAAATGAAATAAAGTAAAAAAAGTAAAATTAAAAAAAAAAGAGTAAAAAATGAACTAAAATAAAGTAAACTAAACTAAACTAAAATAGCTTTCGGGCCGCTGCGGCCGGCCGTGCCCGCACCGCTCCCCTGCCCGGCGATGCCCCGGGGGGCGGCGGGGCCGGTGGGGGGGGGGTGTCCGTGCCCGGGTCCCGCCCTCCCGCGGTCCCTCCCCCCGAGTGGGGGCATCCCGGGGGGGGGGGGAGCGTGTGTGGGCGGCGGTGAAAAGCAGGAGCGGGGCGGTGGCGGGAGGCAGCCCCCCCCCCCCCACGCCCCCCTCCTTCCTTCCCCCCCCCCCCCCGCCGGTGCCGGTGCCGGTGCCGCTCCCGGTGCCGGTGCCGGCTCTGGCTCCGGTGCGCGGCGGCCGCGGCTGCCGGCGCTGCTGGGCGAGGTCAGGGAAAGTCCATGTGAGGAGCGGCTGGAATCACTTCCTGCTGCCGCCGCCGGGACCGCCGGCACCGCGCCGCTAGGCCCAGGGCAGCGTCCGTGGGGCCGGCGCCCCGCAGGTGAGCCCACGGCCCCCCGGGACCGCGCCGGGGCGGGGAGGCGGGGGGGGAGGGGGGGGGGGGCTCCGCCGCGCTTACCCGCAGCGCACCCAGCATCCCCCCGTTTTTTATATTTTATTAACACACGCACACACCCTTCCCCCCCCCCCCCCCCCCCCCCCCCCCCAATACTAAAACTCGGGGAAAGCTGTGCAACACGCCAACACGCCTCAAAACACCCCCCCTTTATTTATTTATTTTATTTTTTTTTTTGGGGGGGGGGGGGGAAGGAAGGGGGGAGACGCACATCGCGCCTTTAATCATCTTTCCTTTCATTATCACGCTGCGGTTACCCAGAGGGAGGGTTTGGCTCCGCCAAACCGGGGTGCGAGGGGGGTGGTTTGGGGGGTGAGGGACGGGGAGGGAGGAAGGGGTCACCCAGGGGTGCTGGGTGTCCATCCCCCCCCCCCCCCCCCCCCCCCCCACCTTGCCCATGGGAAGCGGGATTTGGGGATGAATTGGGTTAGTTCCTGCTGTGTTTTCAAGTCTTGCACAAATGTGGAAAATCGGGTTATTATTAGAAATACCTTTCTGAAGAGACTGCAGTGCTGGCTGGATATTTTATTTTTTAATGGCTAAATGCAGACGCAGGCTCGTACTTTCTCTCCCAGGGGAGAAAAACGCTGTGAAAGGGGAGATGTTTAAACAAAACAAAACAACCAAAAAAAAAAAAAAAAAAAAAAGGCAAAACAAAACCAAACCTAGCTGAACGCCCCGGAGCTCCAGAGCGATCCCCGGGGTCGTTGGGGTGCCCGGTGCCCCACTCCCGCGGTTGGGGGGCTGCTGTGGGACGGGCGGCTGTGCCCCCCATCCCAGCACCTGAGACCCGTCGGTCGGCGAGGGGCAGGGTGTTCAGCCGCTCATCGGTGTCTAAAGGGATGGGGGGGGGCGGGGGGGGGGGGCAGTGGAAATTGGGGTAGGTGGTTGAGTTTTTTATTGGGAAAGCGCCTTGCCGAGCGCCGGCGCGTTCCCCCGCCTGCTGCAGTCTGCAGGCTGCTGTAGTTAAAGTGCGTTTGCTGTGCTCAAGGACTTCTCCAAACATCTTCCCTGCTGTAGGAAAATAAAGCGACAGCAGTACATCGCGTGCTGCGCTCCGCCGGGCTCACCCGTACCGACCAACAGCAAAGTGCAGGATCACTTCCAGCCAAGCCTCCATTACCCGCTGGGTCATTAATTTGAATATTCACTTTTTTCCTCCTTTCAGGAGGCATTTGCGAGGTTGCGGGCAGCTTGATGTGCTCCGCGCCTGCCAAATGTTTGCCTCGCGCCCTGTGTAATTGAGGGGCTGGCGTGCCGGTTTACCTTCTCCAGCTGAAATATTAAACAGTAGGAGAAGCTGGAATCGGCAAACAAACCGGAATGATTGCTGCCCTCTCGGTGGCCCGTCGGCTGCTCGGCGGTGGTAGCCGCGGCGGGTCCGGGGCGGCTCTGCAAACCCCGCTGGGTGCTGGGGGAGACCCAGGGAGCCAGCCCCGCTCAAAAGCACGGCGCTTAAGCACAGCTAAACCCAAATTACTTGCCTTATTCGTAGCCTGCTATTAACTAAAACCCTTCAACTAAAAAGAATAAAGCTGAGCCTTTCCTTATTAGCTGAATTGATGTTGTTTGCCCAGCCTAGGACTGTAAGTCCATGACCTCAAGGTGTGGATAATGGAGGTAATGATAGTTTGATCTGAAGTAAGCAGCAAATATAAAATAATTAGGGATTTTTATCTTCCTCCTTCTGAGTATAAATGTCCTTCTGTAGCTATAACTGCTGCGGGTTTGGGGTTTTTCCCTCCTGTAGAGGCCTTATAATTAAGGCCTCCTGGGAGAAAAGGTGTAATATTTGGACACTAAAGGGTGGAGGGGTGGATTTCTAGAACTTAAAATTTATGAAAGAAAACTTGCAAGGCTTGCTGGATGATACAGATAGTTGGGTGAAAGTCAGGCGTCAGTGGGAGCGGGAGGTCTCCCCCTCGTTTGAAGGGGCCTGCTCGGGCCAAACACGCCATTTCTGTTTTGGCCAGGCCATGGGCTGGCACAGGGCAGCGTTCCCCAAAACGCCTGCGGTTCCCAGGCTCGGACCCCCCCTGTCCCGAGGGGGGTTCAGCCCTTGGGCCAGACCCCACTTCTCTGTGGGGACGGTTCTTTCCCCTTCCCAGCCCTCCGGCCCGAGCTCGGGGCCCGGAGCTCTCGCTGTCCCCAGCACGGGGGGGGGTTTGGTTGTTCATGTCTCCTCCAGCTTTTCCCCAGAGTCCTCCTTTGTTCCTAGAAGATGGATTCCTTTCAATAAGATGCGCCCATTGGTGCTGTATCCCTTTGGAAGAGATGTTTTCAGTGCCCTCTTGCAATATAAAAAGCCTTTTTGCTCGCCCAGCCGTGCTTTCCTGAGGGGGTCTCCTTGGGTTTGGGGTGTGGGGGGGCAGATTTTGGTTCTCAGCAGCACCAGTGACCAGTCAGCATCCCCACGGGGCGGTTGTGCTGCCGGTCCGGGGGATGTAGAGCATCATTACTGCTAGTAAATCCAGAAAAGAAAAATCCCTTTTCCTTGAACTTGATGGAGCCTGGCTGTAAAGCCTACGTAAGTCCTTTCTTGGACTGGGTTTTGGTTCAGCTCCCAGGCTGAGGTGTCAGGAGGTGCGAGGCCACTTTGCAGCGTTGCTGGTTGGCACTTTGGGAGGAAGAGCCAAGAATTCTCCTGCCGGAGCCTGTTCGGCTCAGTGAGCTCTGGGTTTGCTTCAGAGAAACCTCCAGACTGGCGTGTGCTTACCCGAGTGGGGACGCAAACCATCTCACCTCCGAATGGAAATACTTATTTTAAACTGTTGTCTTATAAAGGCTGATTTCTCTGCCGGGTCTTCTGGAGGGCTCGTGCCGGGCTGCTGAGCTCTGCGGGGATGTGCTATACCTGGGAGCTGCCTTTAATCACATACTAGTACTTAAATTAGTGCGCAGTGAAGGATGGCATGGATTGGGGATAAACATAGCGAAACAACCTGCGGAAGGGTGATGTGTCTCTGCTCTTGCTTTGCCCTGTACAATGCCTGTGTTTAAAAATACCCAGGCCTGACAAAATGGGGTTAGAAGGAGGCTTCAGCCACGGGTTTAAATTTTCCCAGGTTTTCTGAGCCAGCCAGATTTTTTTAGGTGAGGCGATCGGGTAGGCTGTGCTGGTCCTAAAGGAACAGGCCCTAGAGAGCTCCAAGGATGCTGAAGAGCTGGGGGCTGCACTTCAATTGTCCTTTTTTTTTTTTTTTTTTTTTTTTAAAAAAAAAATCTTCCTACATTTCTTTGAGTTTAGTTGAATGCAATGAAAGAAATAAAATACAGGCATTCAACTGGAGGAAATTAAACTGAATTGTAAGTTCCCTGCCATACCTAATGGCCAGTGAGAGCATTGTATCTTGCTGCAATTAGCCTTCAAATCGAGCCCGAGCCCGCGTTTGCCATCCAAAGAGCAGCCTCCCAGCCCATCTACGTGCGGGGAAGTGGAAGCAGATCTGATAGCCTTCAGCACCCAGCTGGGATGGGCGCACCTAAAAGAGATCCTGTGTGGGGTTGGTAGGTTGTTTTTTATTTATTTTTTTTTTTAAAATCAAGCCTGTAGAGCAATTGAGAAATAGGTGAAGCATGCTTAAAAGAGGGTGAGGCTGTTGGTTTTCTCTACCTGACTTTATTTGCGAAGTGACAGGAATTTTGACAGGCTTTGTGTCTTTTTTAGCAAATCAAGTGTCATGCCAGGTTTGCCTGTGGATGAGATCATTTGCAAAATATGTTTCCCAGCTTGCTTCAGGCATAATTCATTGTGTCAACTGCAATTGCTCATTTGCTAGGAACTGTGATTCATTAGTGGTTTATTTTTTTTTTTTTTCTTTTTTTAAGTTCAACTTGTTTTTAAGCAAATGTTTGGAGGCAGAACAGAAATTTTTGAAAATATTGAACTTTACAGTCTTTATATCCACAAATGCTGCTGTTCAGGGAAAACTTGCTAAAATGCTGTCATCCCAGGGAGGGAGAGGCAATCCCAGGCGAGCTCCGCTGGGCAGGATTGCGCTCGGATTTGTCATGTGGTTACTCCTAAATGGGGACGGAGGTAATAAAAATCGGACTGCTGGGATGGAGCCTGCCACGTAGAGCCCTGGGTGATGGAAGGAGTGTGCGGGGCTTCCTCCTCCTTCTCCCTGATGGGAGGTTTCAGCCCACTGGAGGTACCACACTCTTCCTCATCCCTGGATTCGGCTGGGGCGGAGGCTGCCCTGCGGATGGACTGACGGACGGGGAGGGCAGGAGGGACGGGGGGGCTGCTGGTATTGCCAGCCCGTGCGCGACACCAGCTTTTCCTCTGAGCTCCTCGCCGGAGGAGGCGTCGGGGCCGGTGGTGGCGAGAGCAGTTACTTGGTACGGTGACCGAGACATCCCCCCCCCCGAAAGCTCTCAGCTGGATGGGATAAAATGAAGATAAATAGCATTTGGCACACGTTTTGTGCTCTATGTGTTCCCAGGGCTGTTCGCAGACATCGCAGTTTGGCTTCCGTCTTTTTAGAGGTTCTCACGTCAGACTTTTTTAAAAAAAAATTTGCACGTCAAGTACATTTTTGTGTTTCATTTCCTATGAAGACAAATATTTCAGTGCATTTTTTCCCCTAGGTGGGTGGATGGGGGGGCAGAAATCACTGCTACTGCTTCAGCAGCCACAAACTACCCTCCAATAACAAACCAGTGTGCGTGGGCTGAATAAATTGATACACTTTCCACAACAAGATTGATTTTATTTTTTTTTTTAAACTTCTAAGTGATTATGAACAGTACACTTAAACATAAGTAACTTGACAGGCTTTTGTTTTGTTGTTTGTTTTTTTTTGTTGGTTTTTTTTTTTTTTTTTCCCTGTGCAAGAATTCTCTATAAAGTACTCTTAAAATACGTGGGTTTTTTTCTTAGTAGTTATGTAGTCTCTCTTTTTTCTGCCAATTTAAGATTT